CACCCAAAATGCTTCGTTGTACTTTACTTTGAGCGCGGTAGCATTTGCTGCCCACACTGCGGAGAGTAAGTGGTCGCCCATGTAATTTGCTAGATCTGATGCTGTCAAAAGCACCTTCTATAATATCAGAGAGGACACCGTGAAGGAAACACGGAACTTGCCTTGTAGAGTATCGCATTTCCCTCTGCGTTGTATCCACCTCCACCTAGACGAGCCCAGTCTCGGAGGCCAGTGACATACATTAGCCCTGTGCTGTCTACTTTGCCTTCCAAGAAAGCAACAGCGCGAGTATAATTAGTCCATACGACACTCAGCCAATTATCATCCCCAGAATAAAGATAATAGTTGTCTACGCAAGCATCAACAACCTCAAAGATTGCGGTTTGATAGAACATGACTGACGCGCTCCGATGAGAGTCCATGCATGATAAGTGTCCGAGCCTAGCTGGCTAAGGGGAGGACCGGATTCTGGCAATGCGCCCGTTTGCGGATTGATCGCAGCGAACATGGTAGATAACGCGTTTCTTGTGGGAATCAAATCGAAGGTGGAAACGAACTGGGCAGGGACTGCAATACCCATATCCCCAGGCCATACTGCACTGCAGAAGTATAGAATAATCAAGGACGCGTCAAGCAGAGCACCGCAGGACAAACCGGTCACGCTTCGCGCCTGATTATTTATTTTGAGTCTCTGGAATGACATGCAACAAATGGAATATGTTACCGTCAACAATTATTGGACCTGCGACCCCGAGCGTTGCATTATTGAACCAAGCTAATCCGTGTTGAGATGTAGAAGAAGAGGTTGGATGCAAATAAAACGTACTACCAGCCGGAGCGAATGGAACCCGTCGGCCTGTTTTAAGGGGAACAGTGTTCGTCTGGACTGTGTACGCGCCAGCATACCATACTACGGATCGTCGCTTAGCAATTTAAAATTCATGAGCTATGAAACCAACCTTTCGTCAGAAAATCCGTATCGTGGAACACAGGATCCGAAGCGTAAAAGTAGCCTGTATACGCTCTCAAATCCTCGACATGAGGCATGAAAGAAATAGCACAAGATACGTTGAAAATCTTGAGAGAGGTTTTCGAGTGTGACACGATGGTCAGATATCGGAAGCCGCCACGTAGAGAATAAGAAGGCTGGGTCCAGGGTCCACCTGTCAATGGCGCAGGAATCGTGAAAACACCATCGTAGGTCATATTTGGTGACGGGTACGAAGAATCATCTGAAGAGAGCGGGTTGACAAACACTGGCGACTCTGTGAAGGAGAGAGATACTGAGGAGGTGTTGTCGACAGCGTCAAAGTTGAGCGAAACAAGCCCCCCGACCTAGTACAAGGTTTCTGAGCCTTGACTCTTCAAAAGAGTAAAGTTTCGCACCTCGATTCCAAAGTCCAGCGCGATCCATGAACTTGGTGACAGAGTCGCGGTTCCGCTACTATTTCCGACTAGCTTGCTAGCACCAGACACGGAGCCTACGCTTTTGTATACAGCTTGAGGGTAGACGGTCTTGGACTTGGGTGCATAGTTGAACGCGTCCCAAGGACCGCCTGGGGCGAGCGCGAGGACAGTAGGAAGGAACAGAAAGTAGGGCAGCATATGACCGATGAGGTCAATGCTGGCCAGGTATGTATTTAATCGCTTTACGGAATTCCATTAACACATCAAATGACGAAGGGAGTGATCACCAGATGTTCAGAAGGCCCGTTGCAGGGTATGGTTCTACCGGATTGCTTGTGATGCATGGTGAAGTCTGGTGACAGACTAAAAATAGTCGAATGTTCTCAGGACGTCTCGTGAAATTCTCCTGTTCAAAAGCATGATTTGTACAACCTAATATTTAAGCGGACATACTCGTCAAGAAGGGGGCTGTAGAACTGGTCACATTCATTGTCGCACTTGCAAAGGCATTATAGGTATATAAAAACCCGAAGAATTGTCGGATATAAAATCGTAGCAGCTCTAACATACCGACATCTTGTTGCATCTTGCTGTTTTTGGATAGCAAAGCGGATGTGCCACTGAAAAAGGCTTCCGGGCCGGGACTGCCGTACCGATCATGGATTTACCAGATCAAGTAGGTAGCCAGAGGCAGCCATCCATAAAGCATTGAGAAAAGACACGGGGCGGTGTATAGGGATCTGCGTCTCGACTGGCAAATGACAAATGAACGCCTGAGGGGAACGGACAAGGGATGATTGAGTCGCTCAACTTCCACCGAACTCCTTCTGCCAATCCTTTGTCCGTGCATTTCGAATTTATTGTAAGGTGATCCCTGACTGCACAGTACCTCATCTAGCACGCGAGAGGTCGTCCTATAACTCAGATAGGGATAGACCGGTTACTTATAGGCTGTGTTTCACAAGTATACAGCCTTTGTAGCGTAGTAGTAGCGATAGCCCTTCTAATGTATTGTTTCAGGTACCACGATGGACCGCGATGCACAAATTGCCTCAATGAAACGTAAATATTCTGGAGTAATCGTCTGGGCTTCTTTCCAACTTGAAGCTAGTGATGGTTTACGCATGCCAAGATAGGATGGTACGATAGGGCGGCCTGGATATGCCAATACAGGCCATTCCATATAACTGAGGGTGTTGCTGATACATAAGAAACTTTACTGCCGTGCGATTGCGATGATTGAAAGGCCTACTGGGAGCTTGTAGCCGAACTGTACCGCGTTTACCCTGGGATTTTAGTCACTCGATTATACCCGGGTTCAATGTTACACGACCATTCGGTCCGGACGGAATTGGATGCATGAACGTAAGTGAAAGCAGAGTTGCCTTCAAGTTATTAATCAGCATAGGTGAGTATGTTTGCTTCCTCTCTGAATAACCAAGCTAAATGTCTCCTACATAAGGCTTCGAAGAGTGAAATTTCTTTCGCTTGGCGAGTGTTCGTAAGGCTTGCCACGCCACCTCCTTAATCGCGGTACTATTGTGGGTAGAATTTGAACTTGTTATCCCACGACTGCAGATATAGTATACGATTTGGAATAGGCCACACTATAAAATATCCAGGAAACGGTGGAGGGTGAGGACGTAATACCCTACAATGCGTGTCAGCTTAACTTTGGAGAACCACGGCTCCGTCGCAAGGGATCACCTAGCCTCTGAGAGGACATTCCTTGCATATGTGAGAACCTCTCTTGTCCTCGCCTCTATCGGCGTCGCTCTCGTCCAACTGTTCTCCATCGCAATCAACACCGTGTCGTTTTCACCTACCAGCGCTATCATGCAGGGATATGCCAAACCCCTGGGAGCGACAAGCGTTCTGTTAGCTTTGGGGATACTGGCTGTAGGGGCGTCGAGATACTTCTCCATTCAGGTAGCTTTGACGGAGGGTAAATTCCCCGTCGCGCGTACGGTGGCCGTCATCATTACTGGATGCATGGCGGCGCTCGTTGCATTGTTGTTTGCTTTGGTGCTGGCTGCGAGGATACGAGTAAGAGTTTTCGCAGTATATATTTAATTAAGGCTGACGGATTCATAGACCTAGGATGTGGCGACATTAGACCTTCAGGATCCTTCGCATACTCGGAAATTGAGGTTTACTACGTATCAGATTACTTCTCGCCAGTATTTTCATATACGCATGAACATAGAATATAAATCATAATTAAACGATTTCCCCACGATAAGACGCATTATTATTAAGAATCCTATTAATCCCATATTGTGAGCCCTTATGACGTAGTATCTCATCGCACTTGTACCTACACAGCACTCAAGCGGTATTCTGGGGTCATTTTGTACGAATCCATAAGCATTGAGAAAAGACAAGGTAGCGGAGTCTCGACTGAGAAATGACAAAGTACCACGTGATCTAGCCACATTGAAGCCGTGGTGCAGCCAAACAGGACCTAACGCGTTACAGACTCGAGTCTGAATGTTCGACACGCTCTCAGACTCACCATCAGACGGCCACAAGCGTAAAGACAAAGGATATAAGTAAGAATCTACGAGTGAGTGTGAGTAAGTTATAGACTAGAGATAGTAAGGTATACGTACCTCAGTCGGGCACAGCGAAGGTGAAACGACTGAGGTACACGGGTATCGACGGCTAAGCTATATAGTGGTCGAGTAAGGACAGGGGTGCGGTATGATACATAAATGGTAAGTAGGAACGAGTGATAGTAGAAAGATAAGGAAATGGTATATGGTATCCTCCAACAAGGTCTGCATTCGCTTTCTACCACTGTTATTCTAATGCGACGATATACACCCCAATCCTCACGCCAGGCTACTACAATACTTCAAGCAACGGACCGTTTCGCACCCCGGATCTCCTAGTGCCACAGTCACTCTATCCAAGGACGTCCTCGCACGCCTGTTTCAATCCCTTTCCAATGTCATCAGCGAGGTGTAAATGCATGGGGGAGATACCAGTCATTACCAGGCTTTGGTTTCAGCACTCATTGAGGGAGAGAACGACAGATGTTCAGGTGCATAAAAATTTGCTCCTATTCAATTTCTATCTAATAAATCCTCATAGAAACCCTTCCATTTTCTCTCTCCCGTCACCACCTCTGTGCACACTTACCAACTTCATGCGACCACTGCCCAGCAAGCACCACTTGGCATGCACTGACTCAGAAATGGTGCAAGATGGGCTGACTTGTCATACATGTTGAATGGCAACATTGAACCCACACCGATCCTTCATTTGTGGCATCAACATCTCATCTGGTATGCATCCAGCCTACTGGCGGTGTCACAAGTGTATGAGGCTGTCATGATGGTAAAGGGTGTGAACCTGTACAGCAGGGTCATTGGCGATGTGCCATTTGAGGAATGGAAAGTGATGAAGTCAAGCTTGGCAATGAGTGATTGTTGGTCTCTGCCATACTGCCTGAGTATGTAGTCAAGCACCTTAGACATGAGACATTTTTAGGAGAAAAAATCTAGAAGTGGATATTAGTTAGCAGTGCCAGCTGTCTTTTTTTTTTTTTCGGACATCACGAAAGATACTTGCTTGATGCAAAATGAAGATGCCCACGACCCGGGTCGAACGAGTGACCTTTGCATGAATGTAACAAGCATTACAAGTGCAACGCGCTACCACTACGCCACACGGGCTGCCTTGGCTGCTCTTATGTCTTCATTATATCTTTGTTTATTTGGATTTGGAGGCCCATTCTTCTAAGCATGTGCAACGCCAGGACTGTCATTCCATTCTCGTCCAGTCCTTCTTCTTCGGTCTGCACCGTGGTCAATCCTTGCTGGCATTATTTCACGACGACTGATATCTTTTATGTCATTCCCTTGGGTCGCTAGCACCCTGTCAAGGAACCACGGGAGGCTGTGTCAACCTGATTGTGTGCTTCTCGTTATATCCCGACCAGAGGCATCATTTTTTTCATTCGATTATGAACTTCTAGGTTCTGCATAAGGCTACGCACGAAACCTCCAGAGGGGAGGGGGATTACGGCTTCGTACCGACCCCTCCCCTCGGGTGTGTTTTGATACGGTATTTTGTACTGTCACGTGCTCCAACACCTGACTGACGCGTGGCTATTCATCGCGTATTTATACATTTTCTTGATCATAAAATGCAATACACCTATAAAGATGGTTCATTTATGTGGAAATCCCTCCAGCGATGGGAGGGAAATCACTACACGTCTCTCATATGCTTAGTCAACACCTTATGTGTGCTGCCTCTGCAAGCTCCGTCAGTTCACAACGTCCAGTAATTTACTGGTAACTTACCGGTCCGAAACCCTGCGTGTCTCAAAATCTAGTGTTTCGCGCGGAACCGTGGTTCTGAAGTACGGGAATTGCGTCATTGGTGACCAATGAGTAGTGCCTGGAACGGGATGACGGAAGCCAGGGTAATGGTAACCAATTACGCAGCCATGCCGTTTGATCAACCCCAGGCAATCGTCGACGTCAGCATTTAAATCTAGTTGCAGCAATACTCAGCCACTGGACGTAGGCTACATAGCTTAACAGATGCCTGTAAAGCGGTCGGACACATTATAAGAACGTCCTTCCTGTGTAGAATAGCTCGGAGGCATCTCTTTTTTAAACACGCGGAAATATATTATATTATCATTTCGGACGTGCGGATCTCTCGTAGTTTTCCTCAGTAGTGACGCTATTCTTTTCTCCACGGGTAGCACTCTTCCGAGTCGGCAGTAACACTTTCACCTTTGCAGAGCTGAAGTATCCTCTTCGCTTGCATATAGTATTGCACAGTCAAGCAAAGGTGTATCGTTTCCTCAATAGTGTGTCTACAGCGTTATAATCTCCCCCTTACCAGTGCATATACTTATAATGTACTCTTCTATATGTGTCAATTCATCCCCATTCGTTTCTCCGGACTTCATGTGAAGTCTCTTTTACTGATCTCATTTTCTTCAAAAGGATGAATGACCTTGCGTCATTGTTCTTGGCACACTCTCTAGGATCAGCCCGCTACGATCGTATTTGTCCTTAAAGGTATAAGTTGGAGTAAAGAGAACCCGTTGGTCTCGGCAGCGTATCTTTCCAGTGGTAAGCGTTCAATGTTCATCCTTCTATTTATGCTTCTGTTGGGCTGAAAGTTGGCCGGTGCTTTACGTTCCGCATGCGTACCACACATTTGTTATAGCAGTAGTAGAGACTTCGTGCAGAGTCCACGAGCAACTTATTCGCGATCCTCGGAGTTCTGCAATGACGTGTAGTCTCCTCTAGCCGCAGATATTCCGACAAATGTCGCTTTTCATGAGGTCGAAGGAGACTTCGCAGAAGTCTGAAGACGGATCAATAAGAATAACGCGTCGGATACTGGCAAGTAGATAGACGGCAAGCAGGGTTTCACACATATCCGGAGGAATTAATAGATATTTTTAAGGTTAGTGAGTGCTGTCGTTCAATCGGCATTTCCCCCATCGTATACGAATCTATATACTTATAACTAATCATCAAACCGGTGATACAGCGCACGTTCGCACCCTTGCGCCCACTAATCCCGTGGTAAATACCCGAAGTAAGTACGAGATGTTGATAGTGGAACAACTCGGGATGGGATCTGTGATTTCGGATTTGAGAGCACTTTCTGACGGTGATGGCCAGGAAAGGCAAAGAATTTCATCGGAAAACCTCGTGATTTCGCTTTTTTCCCGGAGCCAATCCAAATGGGGAAGTTTTGTGTAGACAATCCGGCAACTTTCGGCTCTCAGTGTCGCTTCTCTTATGACGACCAAGACCACCCCACCTTTTTCCTTACCTTTACCACCACTACTTGCCCTAGCAGTGTCTAATGTCGTCGTCGTCTTCGTTTCGGAACCATAGGGTTCTCATCGCGTCGCTTTTCTTGCCCAACACCATCGTTCTTGGTACAGATGGGTCAGGGAAGTCGACGCCGGATAAGCTTGCTCCTCGGACGATGTCGAAGGCCAATGGCGTCTCCTCGAATGTGAAACCAAAGGAGATAAATATGCCAGAGGTCGTCCTGAGGCTTCAGAATGACAAGACGAAGCCAGCGGTTCTCTCGAGGGCGGCCCCATTGAAGAGTATTGTCGAGGATTTGAAGGATCGAGTGAGTAGTGTCATTTACCCTTCATTTCCGCCGGCATTTCCTTCCTTGAAGCTCTTGGTGTCTTCCGAAGTTCATTCGGCCTGTGGGCTTTGTCGCTGCGCATCTGTATTGTCTCATTTGCCCACGGGGCTAATGAATGTCTGCCCTAGGAGGCATTAATCGTTCAGGAGCGATCATCTTTACCCCACTCTGGAGTTCCATAAATTAATACTGACGTACATTTGTAGTCGCGGCATCCTACAGGTGCCCCAACGTCACCAGTGAACGAGTCTAGCAATCCATTTTCCAAAATGAATACACCTCCATCGATATCCAAGTCTCCCAGTAACAGCGACTTGTTGTCGCCCACGAAAGGGCCGCCACTTTCCTATAGAATTCCAAACCAACGTCGCTTGCGCCGTCGCACGTCTTCTCGCTCACTCTCTCGACGAGGAGACCAAGTTCCGTATTCCCCTGAACTCGACGGTCCAAATCCTGATTTTCATATCGAACCTAACGCCCACTGTAATGGTGGCCTCAAAAATGCAGTGGACTCGGTATCATTTAATTCGGTACGACCTCAGCTGAGGAAGAAATTGTGGGTCGGCACCTTGGGTGTGGAGACGGATAGTTGGAGCGACACGCTCCGTCAGCGTACGTCGACGCGTCTTCGAGCTGGAGGTTACGAAAGTGAGGTCGTCTGGGTCTCGGACACCGTGTTTGAAGGGTGCTACGACGAGTTTTGCCACCAAGTCCTGTGGCCGGCCCTGCACTACGCCATTCCTGATGCGCCGAAGACTACAATGTTCTATGAGAGCGCCAGTTTCAAACAGTACGTCAATGTGAACCAGAAATTCGCCGATACGATCAAGCAAGTCTGGCGGGAAGGCGACGTAGTCTGGGTGAATGACTACCATCTGATGCTCCTTCCTGCCATGCTGCGAGCGGCCGGCGTGACGGGCCCTATCGGATTCTTTATGCACGTTGCCTTCCCATCGTCCGAAATCTTCCGGTGCCTGTCCGTACGGGAAAAGCTGTTGAAGGGAATGCTTGGCGCCGATTTGGTGGGATTCCAAACGGCAAATTACGCGCGCCATTTTAGGCAGACATGCTCTCGCATTCTGGCTGTCGAAGCGCTGCCAAGGGGTATCCAACTTATGGCCGAGGAAGAAGGAAGTAGTGAGGAGGGCAAGGGGAGGTTCGTCGACGTGGGAGTATATCCCATGGGTATTGATGTCGCGCTTCTAAGGGAGAGAAAACGTGAACCAGAAGTGTCAGAGTGGATAGCTGTACTGAAGCAGCGATATGCGGGGATGAAGCTCATTGTTGGTCGAGACAAGATGGACGAGATCCAGGGCGTCAAGCAAAAAATTCAAGCCTTTGAACTCTTCTTGGAGAAGCATCCCGAGTATCAAGGCAAAGTGAGGACATCTTAATCCCTCTTCATCATTTTTTCTGAATCATTTCCAGGTTGTTCTCATCCAGATTGCGATACCTTCCAATGCTCCGCGATCGCCGAACACAGCAACGCCCAACTCGACCCTTACAGATCAGATCTTGACCACAGTATCTTCTATCAACTCCCGCTTTTCGACTCTTACCTACCAGCCTATCGTGTTTTTGCCAACGTCGGATGTTACCTACTCTCAGTACCTCGCTTTGCTCACTTGCGCGGACGCGTTCATTGTTACCTCACTTCGAGAAGGGATGGCCCTTCGAACACACGAATTCGTCGTCGTCCAGGAGGGAAAGGAACGCGGCAAGGAAGGTGTACTCGTTCTAAGTGAGTTTACCGGCAGCTGGAGCTTCAGAGGCTTTAGGAGCTGTATCGGCATTAACCCATGGGATAAAACTGGGACCGCTAATGGCATCTACGAGGCACTTAACGACACATGCGAGCAGGACATGGTTGAGGGACGGTGCCGTAGGTGGGAAGAGCTTCTTGGCTGGGTTGAAGAGCAGAGCGCGCAGAAATTCGTCACTGGATTTCTAGGTCGCTGCTCACGTGCCTGGCAGGAGCATCAGCGAGGGACGGAGGGTGGCAATAGCGGAGGCGTAGAAGTGTTGGACAAGAGTAAAATTGGACGCGTTCTTGTGCAATGGAAGCACTGCACGAGAAGGCTTGTTCTGGTGGACTTGGAGGGCACGCTGTGGGATCGGGAGAAGTTCAGGTCCAAGATGAAGTTCAAGAAGGGAGTAGACGTGCTCGATCCGGGACTCAAGGCAGCGATCGAGGTGCTCAGATACCTGAGCGCTAATAAGAGGAACGAGGTGTGGGTGCTCAGTGGCCTGACTGTCCAGGGTGCACCCGGTGTTGTAGCCAAAGAGTTACCAGACGTTGGTATAGTGTATGTTGACCATCACCGTTTCTTCATTCTGTTTCTAATTCAATGTAACAGTGCTGAAAACGGGTGTTTCATCAAGACGAGAACACGACGCGGCCAACCCTCCCAGTGGATCAACATGGTTGGAAATCTGAACATGACGTGGAAATCCTCCTGTGTCGAGATGCTCAATTATGTGGGTTCTTTCTCGTTGTACCATTCCCATCTGACTTCTTCGTTCTAGTTCACCG